GGACGACTGTCGGGCAACAAGAGGGCCTGACGTGGGTTTGGTTGTGCGGTCGAGAAGCAAAGAAAAGCAACGAGCGACTCCAGACGGGCTGGGAGCCACTTACAGACGGCCAGCGAGCTTCTCGGGGCGGGTCTCCAGGCCAGAGACAGCCAGAGAGGCGAGAGACAGGCAGAGATACAGGCAGGGAGACGGTGCTGGTGCTGGTGATGCTGGGACACAGAGAAGTGACATGGCCGGGGATGCTCACAGCGAGGCCGTCATCGCGAACAGAGAGAGATGCAAGACAGAAAGAGAAAGACGAAGACGAAGACGACGGAGACGGAGGCTGCCCTGACTAAGAAACTCACCGTTATTCTGGTTCCTGGTCCGCTTTGTGGTTTCTGGTTCTGGCTCTGATGCTCCGGATGCTTCTTTCATATGCTAATATACTCTCTCTCTCAGCTTAGGGCCTACACTATAAAGATAACTAAGAACGACTACGCATGGACAGGGGAGGCAGGAGGATTAAGAGCTTTTTTCTTTTGCTCTCTCCCAGAAGCAGATGCTATCAAACAAGCCATGGTCGTGCAGAGACAGGCAGTGTGCTCGCCGGCTGTATCCCCCCTCGTTTCGTGCGGTTTCGACCTGCCCCCGGGTCCTGCTGGCCTGTTGGTTGACGGATCGACTGGATTGATACAGACGGAGCCGGCAGCTCGACGTGAAGGGTTACTTTCCTTTTCCTGAGCTCAGTATAACAACTCCTACGGGCTGCTGTGTATCTAGGCATCGTCGAACAGACCAGACTGCCTGCCTGCCTGCCTCCCTGGCTTGTCCCCAGGCAAAAGCAAATATTCATGTCCCACCCAGCAAAACCCGTCAGTCTGTCAGGGCCATGACGAGCAGCTTCAAGATCCAAGATTCACCTCTTCCTCTCTTTCTCTGCTTGCTGCCGGCCTCGTTTCTTTTTCCTTCTTTGCCTTTCTTTTTCCGAAGACTTGCTGGTTCCACGATGGCCGAACCAAGGTTGAGGCAAAGCAAAAGGAAAAAAAAAAAAATTATTATATACGGAGTACTAACTGCTTTCTGAGCGAAAAATGGCCCGAAACGTGGCTCCACCCCTTGAGGATGGATATAAGAGGCCAAAAATCCGCCAATACGACTGTGAGAAAATTGGGATGAGGAGTTAAAAAGGTGAAGGGATTAAGAAAGAAAGAAAAAAAAAAAGGTTTCTGGGTAAAGAAACGGCGCCCGCTATGGAACCAGGGAACTCACCTCCGGCACCAAAGGGAAATCTTCCTACTCGCAGCCAGGGGAGGGGGGGGGAGGGTCTGGCATGAAAAAGAAAGGAACCATAATAAGAAGAACAACAAAAAAAGACAACGGCAGAGAAGAAAGAGAGAGAGATAAAAAAACAAAGAGAAAGGGAGAGATATGAAAGAGAGTGAAGAATGCAAAGGAAACCGTTGGATTGTTTACTTTGGCTCTGCCTCCGCTGCGGATCAAGACAATTCTTCTTTGCTTTTTTCCCTTTTCTGCTTCCTCTGCTCGTCCATCCAGTCCGGGAGAAGAAGAAGAAGAAGAAGAGCTGAAGCTGATAGACTTTTCAACAGCTGTTCCTGCGTCAAGGATGAAGCTCAGTCCGCCCTTATCCGTGGCTGGATACGAGGGAAAAGGGCCGATGTCGATGCCTGAAGTCGTCATCAATCCATCTCAGCGACCTTCTTCTGGACCAAAGATACAACTCGTCACGCACATGAAGGAATAATTGCTATTGCCTATTACTATCTGTCACTCGGAATGGGCGGGAGTAAGGGGTGCATCTCTCTGGCACTTCGATGCAGGATCGACTGGACAAGAGAGAAGCAGAAGCAGAGGCAGAGGCAGTCCGTGTCGCAAACAAGACCAACTCCCTGATTCGTTTCTTTCCCCCGATATTATTATTTATTCTTTTTCTTAATTTTTTCTTCTTCGTCTTTTCTCTGAGTGTATCTTTCTGCTATATATACGGAGTCTGCAAAGTTACTCTGCAGTCGCTTAATTCCTGCGCCAGCCCTAACCTAGGCATCGATCTCAGGATCCCCCTTCGTATACTCGGTGCGCCGTCATATGTCAAACTCAAGCCTGCCCTGTCTGTCTGAAGGCCGCCGTCGATGGCCACCATCCCATGACATTGACATTGGCATGACGTTCGCAGTCCACAGTCACAGCATGCCGCAGCCGGGCCACGCACCTGCGCTGCCTGTTCGTCAGACTGCGACTGAACCCCGTCATCGTTGCCCCCCTTTTGACTCAACTATGACGACGGCGATGCTGCTGCCATGTTACCAGCACAGCAAGCAAGTACAGATATCTGTGTGGACGTGGGCGGCTGGGACTGGATCGGGCTCCCATCCCCCATGTACCCCGTCCGCCCCATCCATGCTCATGCTCCATCTTTGCGACTCCATATTTGCATCGTCTCCGTAACACTGATCCGGCGCCATCTAGACCGTCGGCGTGCCATCTCGCTTTCTCGTGTTCGAACGCACACCAGGAAGGCGGAGGAAGAATATTATTATTAGACTCCGAATGTTCATGCTTGATCGATCGTATCGAGATCAAGAAGCGGGCTGGGAAAAGGGTCGATGGACGTTTGACGCAAGGCGTCAGAGATGTAACCAGGATCTCTCAGCATCTCTCTTGCACTGAGCTGGTCGAATTGGGCCGTCTCCCGAGCAAGGCAAGGCAACGAAACGGCGAACTACGCAGGCTGACTTGCTGGCTTCCTGGCAATAATAGTCGCCTGCCTCTTAAGCCCTAAAGCCTCCAGGATAATAATAATCCCCCATCCCGTCCCTCGGCTGTCGTCTTTCTGGCATTTGACAGGCATCCAGACCGGTTAGCATTATTAAGCTTACCTGGGATATTTTCAAGGCTAAGGCAATCGGCTCGTGATGCTGGGGATACTTTTGGGACACCCCCCCCTGGCTGGCATTTTTTCACCTTCTCTCGCCCTCTGGCCCTGGACCGACGACATTATTCTCTCCCGGCTAGACCTCCACATTC